GAACCCATGTCCCCTGCCTCGGCTGGCGGACTCTCAACCACTGCGCCACCAGGGAAGCCCTGCATATAACTTTTGATGAGTATCTTTTCTTCATGTTCCTCTCTAAATACCAATAACCAAAACTTCAATATCTTGACCTCTATAAAACGGGTTGAATACATTTTCCTCTCGAAACTGGTGTCAGGTCAAAATAAGACTACAAAGTGGAAGTACTTAGCACTGTATATGGGATATAGTAGACATCTAATAAATGTCTTCTTTCATTTTATAGTTTAGATTCTGGGGAAAACAAAGAGCAGACATGCCAAAAAATATGGAGTATGACAGGATTCTGCATGCCTCAATCGCATTTAGCTACAGGCTTTTCAAAAGCTCACTTTATGCCACCTTGCTTTTACAAAAGACCTAAATTAGTACCTATTTTCATTAACAACAACAAACATGCAAAGAGGATTTTCACTTTTACGAAAAAGGTGAAAAGTGAAAATAGGTTCAGCATTTGTTTTTGCAGGGAGCCATCTACAGAGGCAGTGTGTACCCCAGTGAGTGGCCCCACCAAGCTCCTTCCCCAGGAGCTATACTCAGCATCAAGCTGCCATAGCTTTAAACTGTTTCTGTGAGCATTTGCACTTTATCTTGATTTATCTGGTACATCCAGTTAGCAAGATGTGACCTCAGGTAATAGCTTATTTGCTTTAAGCCATTTCGGCTTGCAAAAGGTTTCACAGGAACAATCTACTTTCGGATAGTAAAAACCATGGTACGTCTATGCCAGTCCCCATTTAATTGTCTTGAATCTCCTTGCAGAATTTATAAACTGGGTTTTCATCTGCTACCCTGTGCTCTCAGTGACATCAGTGACAATAAACATCTAATAAGACTCCTCGTGAATCCTAAAATTTTCATGTCGATAACTTTTTAAAAATAAAATGACTTTAATAATGGACTTATTTCAAGAGAAAGACAGCAAATTGTGAGAGGAAGGAAGGCCAAAGGGCATCCTTGTTAATGAGAAATTTCTGGCAAACTCTTTCAACCTGAGTAAGAATTTAGTGACCTCAAATAATTTAAGTCCTGAAGAAGCAGTGGGGAAGGGGGAAGGATGGACACCATATTCCAACTTTAATGATCCACTGCTAATGTGATCTCTTACTGCACACATTCTGGCACTATATAAAACTATCTTCCTCAAAGACATTCAGAAATGTGCTTGGAACCATGCAAAGAATATGCCAAATATTTAGTTTAAAAAACAATCTATAAAAGGCAACAAAAGCAAATATAAACAAGTGGGACTATATCAAACCAAAAAGCTTCTGCACAGCAAAGGAAACCATCAAACAAAATAAAAAGGCCACCTACTGAATGGAAGATAATACTTGCAGCTCATGTGTCTGGTAAGGGGTTAATATACAAAATATATAAAGAACTCATACAACTTAACAGAAAAAAACCAACAATCTGTTTAAAAAATGGACAGAGGATTTGAACAGACATTTTTCCAGGGAAGATATACAGATGACCAATAGGTATAGGAACAGGTGCTCAACATCACTAATCCTCAGGGAAATGCAAATCAAAACCACAATGAGCTATCACCTCACACCTGTTAGAATGGCTACCGTCAACAAGACAAGAAATAGCAAGTGTTGGCAAGGAAGTGACGAAAAAGGAACACTTTTCCACTATTGGTGGGAATGTAAAGTGGTGCAGCCACTATGGAAAACATTTTTGAGGCTCTTCAAAGAATTAAAAATAGAACTACCATAAGATTCAGTAATTCCATTTCTGGGTATTTATCCAAAGAAAACTAAATCACTATCTTGAAAAGATACCTGCACACCCATGATCACTGTTCACTGCAACATTATTTACAATAGCCAAGACATAGAAACAACCCAAATGTTCATCAATGGATGAATGGATAAAGAAAATGTGAGACATATATACAATGGAATATTATTCAACCATAAAAAAGTAAAGCCTGCCAATTGCAACAACACAGATAGACCCTGAAGGCATTACGCTAAGTGAAATAAATCAGACAGAGAAGGGCCAATATTGTATGATCTCACTTACAGGTGGAATATTTAAAAAAAAAAGGAAAAAACTGAGCTCATAGATTAAAGAAAACAGATTGGTGTTTGCCAGAGGCAGGGGTTGGGGGGATGGGCAAAATGGTTGAAGGGATAAAGGTGGTCAAAAGGTAAAAACGTCCAGTTATAAGATAAATTAGTCGTGGGGATGTAACGTATAGCACGGTGACTATAGTTAACAACACTGTATTGCAAATTTGAAAGTTGCTAAGAGAACAGACCTTAAATGTTGTTGTCACAAGAAAAAAAAAACAGAAATTTGTGCGTCTGTGGCGATGGATGTTAACTAAACCTACTGTGGTATTCATTTTGCAATATATACATGTATCAAATCACCATGTAGTATACCTAAAACTAATACAACATTGAATGTCAATTATTCCCACCCAGAAAAGAAAAACACCTTAGTCCACAAAACAATATATTTTGAGCATGTACAAGTTCTATTCAAACAGTGTCTGTATTAAACTGTCACTGGCCTCTCCTCCTCTGACTCTCTCTTGTTCACCCTTGTTCTAATTGCTGGAAGCCACAGAACTCATCCTGGATCATCTGCTCCATCTCTACTCTGAACGGAATAATCTCAGCAAGGATCGTGATTTTAAAATTTATTAGTAAATACTAATGACACCACCTTAACTTTCCTTCATGTCCATGGTCATTTATCCAATTGCCTGTTGGGCACAGTCATAGACACCTTAGGTACCTCAGACTCAAGATGCCCAAACGAGAAATTGTTTGTTAATATCGTATCACAGTAACACTAGATTCACAGAATTAACTGCCTCAGTGTTTTAAAAACATCTGTGGCAGACTTCTGCTCAAAATTAATTCATGTAATGTTATATGGAATTTTTAATGGTTGGGGGAGTAATATGTTCATTCATCACCAAGCTTTCAATTTCAGGTCTGCCCTATCAAAACGCAATGTTTGAAGACTCATTTTCATCTAAGAATCACTTTTGCAAACTATTCTTTTGCTCCCCTGAAATTCTAACTAGCAAAAGTCCTAAAATGTCTTGATTTTAGGGAAAAAAAAAAACGCATAAAACCATATGTCAAAAGTTGTAATAACTTGCTGGATCAATCACGACACTGAGTATTCTTAGATTATGCAAGAGAGAAACACATCATTTGTCAAAGACAAATGAGGCCAGGTATCAAGGTATCATAAAGGAGATAGATCTTGGAAAACAATTCAACTTTGAATTTGTACCAAAAGTCCATTTTGGAACTAAGTATTAACCAAGTGTTCTAAGTGTAATTAGGGCCATTCTATTACAGAATCTTCTGGTGGGGCTAAGCAGAGAGGATGAGCAGAAGGAATAAGGCGTTACAAAAAACAAGCTGTAATAGGCAAGAAAAGCAAGGGAGTAAGAGAACCTTGGGGAGGGAAATTAATCAGGTTTCTTTGCTGGTGTGAAACTCCAGAAGAAGTTAGCCTTAATAATACATAATTCTATCTGATTCCTAAATATAGAAATGTCATAAGGCAAAACTACCTTATCCATTAATTTTTATTTTTTTTACTTTTTTTGTGGTTCACAAGTCTCTCACTGCCGCGGCCTCTCCGATTGCGGAGCACTGGCTCCGGACGCACAGGCTCAGCAGCCATGGCTCACGGGCCCAGCCGCTCTGCGGCATGTGGGATCCTCCCGGACCGGGGCACAAACCCATGTCCCCTGCATCGGCAGGCGGACTCTCAACCACTGTGCCACCAGGGAAGCCCTATCTATTAGTTTTTAATAAAATCATCATTATATTAAATTTTAATAAATTTCTATCAAAATAAAGCAAGATTTAAGATATGATAAAATGATTCTAGTTTAATAATGCTGGAAGAATATTTAAATATACTAAACTACAAAATAAAAATGTGAGTAATGAAACTATTCAACGATAAACAATATATAAGAAGGCTAAGTGCTGAGAAAATGAGAAAAATGAAAAAGCATAAAAATAAAATACTAGCATGAAGTACTTTACATTTTAAAACATTTTCAAATACAGTCTCTGATTTAAACAACTGACATAATAACTAAGATCAAGAGACATAAAGGTTGTGAAGTAAGATGCTCCATACACTCATTCTGCCATAATGGTGAAGTCTACAAGGGCTAAATAAATTACACTATTAAAGGAAAACTGAGCTAACAGGTAAAAGAAAATTGAGTTTAAATGTTTAAAGTAGAAGAGTTTCTAAAGCCTTGTGATAGGCTGATACTTTAAAAAAGTGGTAGCCAAAGTTTGAAATTGCAACTTTCAAGTCTCTTTAATAATGCCTTCTCGCAGAATTTTGTTTAAAATTATCACCTATAAAACTGGGATTCTGATAAAACCAAATCTCTCTTCTAATGTCATATTCACTATTCCTGGGGAGATGGCCTTAAAAGGTGAAAAAAAAAAAAAGCATGAAAAGATTTTATTTATTAATTTTAATTCTTACATTCTGATTTATGGATTAAATCAAATTAACAATTTTTTATTGAGCTACAACTAGGAGCCAAGTGACCATACAATTAGCCTCAGCATTTCTTCATTGTTTCGTTCTTGGCTTGGTGCGTCAAATTGATTCAACACAGTTATTTCAAAGAT